GTTCGCTACCTCCTCATCCTCGAAGCTCTTCAAAGAAAGGGATGGCTTCAACTAGTGCACCTTCCACTATGGCAAATACACCTCCTCCATCTGCAGCAAATCCACCTCCATCTGAAGCAAATCCGGCTACTACTACGACTACTGGTGTTGCTGGTGAGGTACCTGGTGTGCAAAAGAAAATTGACGAGGGAAAGAGGAAGAAGACGTATAAGTAGTGGATCCCTTATGATGAGGTGCTAGTGGACGACTATCCATTTGGAAAATGAAAGCGGTATGGGATGTTGATTAAAGCTCATTCTACCAACAATGGCACTACTGGTTTAAAAAATCACCACCTGATGTGCGAGAGGAGGTCAAAGGAATCTAGTGGGCAGTCGGTATTAAACTATCAAGCTAGTGGGACTAGTGAGGTAGGCTATCTTACTCCGTGGAAGTTTGATCAGAACAAAGCTAGACATGCATTAGCTATCATGATAATCTTGGATGAGCTTCCGTTTCGATTTGTTGAACGAGAAGGATTTAGGAGATTTATGACAGTAACTCAGTCTTTGTTTGTGATTCATAGAAGGCAAACAATAAGATCTTATTGTTATGTCATTTTTATGGAGAAGAAAGAGATGTTGATTGAGATTTTTTAACTCAAAGTGCAAAGGAAGGATTTTATCACTATAGATACATGGACTAGTGATAATAACCATAATTATATGTGTGTAACTGCACATTTTATTGGAGATGATTGGAAACTGTAGAAGAGGATTATTTTTTTTGTTCCCATTACTAGTCATACATGGAGAGATATTGCGGATGCTTTGGCAGAATGTCTACAAGAATGGAAAGTGAAGAATCTGTTTTGCATGACAATGGATAATGCCACTTCCAATGATGTTCTTGTTGAGTGTATGAGAACAAAACTGAAAGAGTGGGGATCAAATTTGCTAGATGGGAGGTATCTGCAGTATAGATGTGTGGCACATATAATCAATCTGGTTGTTTATGATGGATTGAAAGAGGTTGGAGTTGTTGTGGCGAGGGTAAGGGATTGTGTGAAATGGGTGAAGTCATCACCAGCTCGAAGTGCAAAGTTCAAGTCTAACATCGACTACCTGGAGATGGATGGTAGAAGACTTGTGTCTTTGGATGTTCCGACTAGGTGGAATTCCACCTATTTGATGTTGGAGTCTGCAGAGAGGTTTAAGAAGGTGTTTAAGGTCATGTATGATAGTCCTACTGATGCTTCCTTTCGAGACTACATGAACTCCAAGAAGGGTCTTCCATCTGGAGAAGATTGGAGCAGCATTAGGCGTTTCATGAAGTACCTGAAGTTCTTTTATGATCTTACTCTTTGTGTATCAGGTATGTGAATGAACTATCAAATTTTAAAATTCATGTCTTAAAGTTAAAGTGAATGATTTCTCACTTACATTTTTTCTTTGTATCAACAACATCATATGTCACTGCACATACTTTCTGCAGAGCCATTGTTGATATTCATGATGTGATTGCTACTTAGAAGAAGGATGTAGATGAACAGATACAAAGAATGGCAGAAAGAATAGAGGCAAAGGTGAGAAAGTATTTGTTTGAGAATGATGATGATGAGGAGGAGGATAACCTTAGAATAAATAGGATAGTTTACATGGCATGTGTGCTTGATCCAAGGCGTAAACTATACTATTTGACTATGATGTTGGAAGAGATGTATGTAAAGTCAAAAGGGGAAGCTTTGGCAGATCAAGTGAAGAAAGAGATGACACTATTGTTCGAGGTCTACAGGGTGAAGTATGCATCTTCAGCTTCTGATTCTGAAGCTACTACTCAGACACCTCCTCCTATCGTGACTAGTGCCGAGTCTTCTGTTATGGGAGGTGCATTTGAAGCTCGGTTCCAGCAGAAGAGAAAGGAGCAACTTGAGAGGGGGGGGGGGGGGTCGAGTATCTGGTGAGTTTGAGTCATATTTGAGAGATGTTGGTGATGTTGTTAATGAGGAGATTGATGATCGAAAGTTTGACCTTCTGAAGTGGTGGTCTCAGAACAGTGTTAGATATCTCATTCTTGCAAAGATGGTTAGGGATATATTAGCATTTCCAGTATCCTCTGTTGCCTCGGAGTCCACTTTCAGTTGTGGAGGTCGAGTTCTTAGTCCTTTCAGATCATCTTTGAGCCCAAACATTGTAGAGGCCTTGATTTGTGCTGAAGATTGGATGAGGTATGAAAGTGGAAAGATTGTAGATGAACTGAATGATAAGGAAGAAGATCAGGAGACAATCGACTTTGAGAGTGGTAAGAATTCAATTCATTATTCTAATTTGTATATACTCTTTACTATTAAGCCATTCCATATTCAAATTATTAATATTTGTGCTTTTTCTTTGCACTAGTGGCTAATACTTTCCAAGTTCGAGTGGTAACTGCTAGTGAAGTTAGAGCACATAGCTTACCTGATGGGGTTGTTGAGGAGGGTGAGGAGGAGGAGGAAGAAGACGACTGAGAGTGATGATATTAGTGACAATGACGATCCCAAAGTTTCTCTTCTTAGGACTTTGGAGAAGAAAGGTTATGCTAATGTTGGTGGTGAGACAAGTTCTATCGGAGAAGGAGGAGCATGAGATGCTAGTTTTATTTATGTTGTGTTATTTGGAGACTTCTAAGATCCATTTCTATTATTAAGTTTGAAGTTTGAACTTGTGTGAATTTAGATTTTAGACATTGTCATTAATCATTATGCGTGTTGGTTGATTGACAATTATGTTGATTATCGTCCTTTTCAATTTCAATATTTGATGATGCTTAATGAATTTCAGAATTTGAACTTGTTATAAATCAATTATGGTTTGACAAATGACAATTGTAATGCTATAAATTATAAAAATTCTAAATATTGTAAATAAGAGTTAAGAATTACATTATTGATTACATAAAATACAAAAAAAAAATCATGATTTTTTTAAAAAAAATTGCCCAGCCTCTCATCTGCCCACAGTCGATCCGATTATTTCCTGGTTAACCGAACCGAAATGCTATTTCTCGGCCTTGGCTCGGTGTTTCGGTATAACCGATTTTTCGGTAACCGGTAACCGGTTACAAACCGATATCGATATTTGACCGTGCTTTCGTCGCAAATAGTATAGCGTAACCAGTACCAGTTACCGACCGATTACCAGCCCTACATATATCTATAGCATGAGCAACACAAGGGTCTCATGTAATTGGGACCAAACATTGGTTGCACCCATTGAATATTGCTTATCGGGCCTTGAACCCATTTCATATAGTGGGCCGATCAAGCGTTGATTGGAGGAGTGATCCAAAAAAGGATGCACCCCGTGGGAATGTTTACAATGGATCACATCATCGTTGTTTGGTCGGGCGCATGGTCGTGGAGCATAGTTAGTAAATACTCCGTTTAATACACGTATATGTACTCGTATGTATTTTATCCGTTTAAAACTTCCGTATCCGTATTATTGTTAAGGGGTCGTTTGCTTCAAGGATTTTGTACATGGATTTGGTACCAAAAAACCAACTATCAAGGATTTAGGTACAATCCGTTGTTTGCTTGCACCTTTTTTGGAGACCAAATCCGTGGGGCCCACGGATTTTAAGGGTCCAAATACGTGGACCCCACGGACTTATAAATCCCACATGTTGATGTGGGATTTGGAGTATGGCATAAATCCTTGATGACATTTTACCCATATACCCTAATGCAATTTTAATATTCCAAGGTTGCCCTCAAATTTAACTATTATACATTATAATTAACAATAAATGAATAATATAAACGTTCAATTAATGTGCAAATATGAGTTAGATTTTTTATATCATTTCTTGTGTTCTAGTTTTCTTTGACCTTTTCATGGAACGTGTAATTCTTTGTTCTCCCGATTCTAATATATGTTGTTATATGTTACTTTTGAAAAGGATGACAAAGAATTGGTAATTGATTATGTTACGTTAAAAGTTAAAACGGAATTTTCTCGTTTATTATTATTGTCCATGTGGCAACATTATGCTTATTAGTATGTATTGTCCTTGTTTTGTGTACATATATAAACATGTCAAACATATAGAAAATGATAGTAAGGTGATTTTGAAGTTTTGTCCTTGTTTTGTGTACATATCATAAACATGTCAAACATATAGAAAAGGGCAGTAATGTAATTTTTGACTTCAAGTAGTAAATCCCACACCTTTAAATCCATGATAAAAACATCCCAACAAACAAAGGATTGTTACAAATCCATGATGCCTCAAATCCTTGATAAATCCTTGGGTTTTTAAATTACAAAACCCTCGTTTATAAATCCATGAAGCAAACGACCCCTAAGTCGTTTGATTTTTGCCCGTTCATTTAGTGGCTCCCGTACTAAACACGTATAAAACTCGTATAACACGTTTATTATCCGTATTTTATGAATTAAATTGTTAACTTTACTATTATTAATAGATTTATTTATTTTTAAAATGATTAGTTTATTATATTTATGACTATTTACGTACTATTAAACGTAACTTTAGGTTAGAGACAAAGTATAATACCCGTACATATTTTTTACGTAACTTTCCCGTACCGTATTTTACTAACTATGTCGTGGAGTTGACCTGACTTAGCTTCCTGCTGCAGCAGCTGCAAGTCGTGAGTTCATGCTTGCGATTGCATAGTTATATGAATCGGTGGAATTATAAGAAGTAAAAAATACAGAGCTGAAAGTGGCTGCTGCTCTTTGTCAGGCGACTAGACTGAACAATATGAATTCCAACGACTCGCGACCAAAAACGAATTCCACACATCCTCAGCTCCTCCTGTGGTGGCCGGCCGGCCGGGCCAATTAATAAGCAACAATGATTCTCCTGCTTGCTGCTGTCCGTTAAGCAACGGTCCAACCACCCTTTCCCTTTCCCTTTTTAATGGCGACTAATTCAACTTCAAAACCAGAGGAGCTCCCCCGAAGTACGCGTCTTCACGTTCATTTAATACCCCCTTTCCCAAAAATACTTATAACGCCACTCATCCCCTTTTCCCCTCCCCTCCCTCGTAAAGCAAATCCCATTCATTCCTAATTTCCAACCTCCTCCATCATCATACTTCCTTCCTTGTACCCTGTAATCCATCAGAAAAACCCAACTTCCCCTGAATCAATTCGATCGAGGAGGAGAAAAAAAATGGACGCGAACGAGCTGAGGAGAGTGTTCCAGATGTTCGACAGGAACGGGGACGGCAAAATCACGAGGAAGGAGCTGAGCGACTCGCTGCAGAACCTGGGGATCTACATCCCGGAGGGGGACCTGACGCAGATGATCGAGAAGATCGACGTCAACGGCGACGGCTTCGTGGACATGGACGAGTTCGGGGAGCTCTACCAGACCATCATGGACGAGCGGGACGAGGAGGAGGACATGCGGGAGGCATTCAACGTCTTCGACCAGAACGGCGACGGCTTCATCACCGTCGACGAGCTCCGCTCCGTCCTCGCCTCCCTCGGCCTCAAGCAGGGCCGGACCCTCGAGGACTGCCGCAAGATGATCAGGAAGGTCGACGTCGACGGCGACGGGATGGTCAATTTCAACGAGTTCAAGCAGATGATGAAAGGGGGTGGATTTGCGGCTTTGAGTTCCTCTTAGATTCATAATTGCTTCCTCTTCCTCTTCTCTTCTCTTCTTTTAAATTCATCATCCAATCCAATTCCATTTTGCTTCCTTCTCTGTCTTGTCGGAAAGGAGAGATTTGGTTAATTGATTGATACATTTTTCACACCATTTTCCTCTTTCTCTTTTGGGTCCCTAATTTGTGTAACATTTGTTGATTTGATTTCACAATTTACAATTAGAGAGGGTCTGTTGTTGACTTGTTGTGCTGTGTTGTTAATGAAGAAGCCTTGCTGGGTATGGGAGATCCATTTCCCACATTTGTTCGGAGATAGATTGAATTGAAATCATGTTTTCCAAAGAAATGAAGTCATAAACTTCTGGTTATTGATCCTTGTTTATGTGACATCCTTAATTTCAAATGCATTATTCTCATTTGTAGATTATTAGTCCCTAATTTGGATACCTCGTGTTTTTTGTGAATACATAAAATATTAGTATGTCCATTTTCAAAGTTTACAACCTGTGTTGTTAGGAGATGCAATCATTAGATTTACAAAACGAAAAGGGGATTTTTGAATTTGATGTGCATGATACCCAAGATAAACAAGCATGTTGTGACTTTTCACGTGTTCTTACATTGGGACAAGCCGAGTTTAACATCGATACAATAAGGGCTTCAACCCATTGTTGTAACGTAGTTAGAGCTAGTTGTCTGTGTAAGTTCTACCCTAATTGAGCTTTGTCGAAAGGGTATAAAACTCAATGTAAGGTCTTTGGCCATGGTAAAGAAATAATAAGAAATCAACAGCCAGAGAGAGCTTATCTTTCCTGTGGATTAGTTCTGCGCGTCGGAATATCATGTAAATAAAATTTTTTTATATATATAATGTTTTGTAATTGAGTTATTGAGTTTTGTTTTCATGGTATCAGAGTTGTCGGTTCAGTTCAAGTCGTTTTTTATCTCGTTAAAACCATTATGAGTGGCGATGACGAGAAGAACGTAAAGGCTCCACAATTATCTATTGACAGATGCAAAATCAGAATAATACGATGCAGAAACAGATTGAAACACTGACACCGGAGTTTACGTGGTATCCCTGGATGTGATCCAGGACTAATCCACGGAAGAGCTTGAATGCTCTTCAGCTACTGATTTTACTGAGTTGTGATTATGATCATGTATGTTACAGGCGGCCAAGCTTCTCCTCCAACCCTTTATACAACACCCTAGGGTTGTGCATGGACAAGCATGGATCAACGTATGGGCTGCAAATTAACATGGGCCTCATTCACCACTAACAAACGTAAACTGAAGCCCATTTAACTCTTAAAACGCTACCATCCTCCCCCAAATTGATGCCGATCTTTCAGCATCAATTTGCTCCCCAAATACCAGTGACGACTAGTAGAAAAGGACTTTGTGAAGAGATCAGCTACTTGTTCTTCTGTCGGAATATGATGTAAGCTGACAGTGCCATCACGAACAAGATCCCGAACGTAGTGCACATGAATCTCTATGTGCTTAGTCCAATCATGAAGAACTGGATTCTCTGCAATGCGAATAGCACTGGTGTTGTCTACATGCAATGCCATAGGCGCAAGACAAGTGATCCCGAAATCAGAGAGGAGACGTCTCAACCACACCATTTCAGATCCAACTTCGGACATAGCACGATATTCAGCTTCAGTTGATGATTTGGAGACCTTATCATGCTTCTTACACCGCCATGATATGTATGCTCCACCAAGTTGAACACACCACCCGGATGTGGAACGACGTGTATCGACGCAGCCAGCATAGTCAGAATCCGAGTATGCAGTAATTGTAGGAGAACCTGTAGAGGGAAATAGAATCCCTACATCTTGTGTTCCATGAAGATACCGTAAGATCCGATGAACAGCAACAAGATGATCAACACACGGAGCAGTCATGAATTGACTAACCACTTGTACAGCATAGGAGATGTCCGGACGAGTGGCAGATAGATAGATCGGACTTCCCACGATACTACGATATTGGGATCCATCCTTCAGAGGTTCACCAGAGTTTTTGTGCAGTCTCAAATTCACTTCCATGGGCGTCTTCACAGGTTTGCTGTTATCAAAGTTGTGATCACTGAGCAGATCAGAAATATATTTACGCTGACTGAGAAGAATACCTTGCTCATTACGACTGACTTCCAGCCCCAGGAAGTATGATAGATTGCCCAGATCCTTAATACTGAATGCCTCTTTCAATCCAGCTTTAAGACGAGAAATTCCTTGCGGATCAGAGCCTGTAATCACCTTGTCGTCAACATACAGGAGAAGAATAACTATGCATGCCGAGGTAATCTTAGTAAAAAGTGAGGGATCGTTGAGACTTTGCTGAAAGCCCAGTTGAACAATAGTAGCCTGAAATTTCTCGAACCAGGCCCGAGGTGCCTGTTTGAGTCCGTAGAGTGACCGATGCAATAAACAGACTTGATCCTCACGGCCAACAGTATAACCAGGAGGCCTTTCCATATAGATCACTTCCTCCAAATCACCATGGAGGAAGGCATTCTTCACATCCAATTGATAAAGAGGCCAGTTGAACAGAGCAGCCACAGCGAGCAGAGTTCGGACAGTTGACATTTTTGCAACAGGCACAAATGTCTCGTTATAATCCACTCCATGTTCTTGAGTATAGCCGAGAGCAACTAAACGAGCTTTTTTGCGTTCAATGGAGCCGTCTGGAAGAATCTTGATGGCATAGACCCAACGACACCCGATGGTAGGAGGACACGGAACCGGTCGATCAACAACTGTCCAGGTTCGATTGGCTTCCAACGCCCCGAACTCCTCTTGCATGGCGCGATCCCATATTGGATTCCCATGAGCCTGTTTAAAAGTGGTTGGGACAATGAGAGTGTTCACTCCATAAGCAAAATAATCATCGAACCTAGGAGGTGGAACTCCCTTGTTTACTCGTAGTGACCGTCGAGGCTGCTGTTGTTCTTCTGGTGATGGCAGATCCAAAATAGACATTGGTGGGCTGCTGCTAATAGAAGTTGAGGAAGAAGAGGTGCTGGATGTACTTGGCGTGGTGGAGGGCAGATCGGGAGAGGAAGGAGCATCATCAGGATCATTGGACAAATGAGCCATATCATCCAAGTCTTCATCAAAAATTGGCAGCGACTGTTTGCCACCAGGAAACTCGAGTTCAGAAATAGATTTGGAAGGATAGAACCTCTGTTTTTCAAAGAACACAACCGAAATTGCTATTCTCATACGCTGCCCCGTAGGATCATAGCAGAGTTACCCCTTGTGCACACTACTATATCCAAGAAAAACACAACGTACAGTTTTGGAAGTTAATTTAGTTCTCTCTCGTCTAGGAAGAAGAACAAAGCAGAGACAACCAAATACTCTTAACCGAGAATAATCAGCATGATGACCGTATAGGGAAAAATAAGGACTCAAATGATCTAAAACCGGAGTGACTTGATAGTTGATTAGTCGCACTGCAGTTACCACGGCTTCAGGCCAAAAACGACCGGGAACAGAAGAATCAAGGAGTAAGGCTCTAGTAAGCTCCATAACATGTCTATTTTTCCGTTCTACTAGACCATTTTGTTGAGAAACTCCTGGGCAAGACATTTGGCTAAGAATACCACGAGATCGATAGACATCATGCAGAGGAATTGAGCTAAACTCTCCTCCTGGATCTGAACGGATAATTTTGACTGTTTTTCCGAATTGGGTTTGGATCATGTCAAGAAACTCAATGGCAACAGAACGAAGTTCGGATTTGAGTCTGAGAAAATATATCCATGTATATCGGGTCGCATGGTCTATAAACAGGGCAAAATATTTGAATCCCAGACAAGAGACAGTAGGGGAAGGAACCCACAGATCAGTATGAACAAGATGGAAAGGCTCATTTATAACAGTAGTGCTAGAAGGAAAGGATACGGGCGAGATTTTAGCTTCAACACAACTGGAGCAAGAATGTTTTCCTAGAATTTTAGCAATATTTTTTCCTAACAGAGACTGTTTAAACATAACTGAGAGACGAACTGAGTGTGGATGCCCCAGACGGGCATGCCAAAGTCCCCACACCTGATTAGATAAACTCGAAAACACAGGACCAACCACAGAAGGAGGTTCAAAGACATGAGAAGGACTACGGACAGACCTAGACAGAACATGACTACTAGAAGAAGATGCTGAACTCGAACTATCCTGGAGCTCCTCCAAGTGGAAAATCCTCCCCTGTTTACTCCCCCTTCCGATCTGCCTCCCCATCTTCAATTCCTGTATAACACAACCAGTAGGACCAAACAAAACAGAGCATCCCTGTTCAGTAAGTTGCCCGACTGAAACCAAGTTCGGAACTAAAGCAGGAACATGAAGAGTGCGATCCAATGAAATATTAGGCGTGTCAACTTTACCTACTCCTGATACCGCCATTCTATCACCATTGGCAACTGTCAATCCCTCATGACTAATGGATTTAATATTTTGCAGAACATTTTTATCATTAGTCATGTGGTTATAGCAACCTGAATCAAGCAACCAAGGTTTGTTTTGCACTTTACCTTGAAGGGTTGACAAGGCCGATCCTATGGCAGTGGGAAGAGAATTTTGCAAAGCTGCCACAGCTTGAACCAGTTGCTCCATTTGAGCTACTGTGACACCTCCTGCCACGTTTCCACTAGATTCCCCAGCATCAACATGATAAGTAGGTCGATTAAATCTCCCTTGTGACCCTCGGCCACCTCCTGTCGAACCAGAATTGCCTCCAAACGAACCAGAATTTCCACCAAACCTTTCCGCATTACGGTCACGCGTGCGACACTCTAAGACAATATGGCCCATTCTCTTGCAATAAACACAATAATTCCTTCGGCGACAATGCTTCACTAAATGTCCTTTTTCATGGTAATGATGGCATTCCAATTCAGCATTGGGAACTCTACTATGGAATTGGGGACGTGAAACAGCAAGAACTTGAGTTCCATGTCCCATACCTGACCTTGTTGAGCGAGCAGCAGCAGTGGCGAATGTCTCGCCTTCCCCTGGACGAACATCAAATTGGGCTTGAGTTCTCAAGCGGGTCTCCTCGCGTACCAGGCTGCTGATCACCCCGTCGAAGGTAAGTCTCTCCCTGGTCAGAATGTTAGCCCGAACATTCTCATATTCGAGTCGCAGCCTCATTAAAAATTGCATAACCCTGGATTGTTGTCGTTCAGCGACCATGTCATCAGACATAGCTTGCGGCCTCAGAGTCAAGGTCAACATATCTTGCTCTGTCCACAACTCTTGCGCGGCGTTGAAGTACTCAGTCACTGTTCGATCGCCTTGAGTTAAGCGGGCAAGAGCTGTTTCTACCTCAAATTGTCGAGCAGCGCTAGTGGTGGAGTAGAGCCCTGATAGATGGCGCCACATTCTGTTGGCAGTTGGGAATAAACGAATGCTGAGGCAGGTCGAAGGATCGACCGAACCAAGAAGCCAGGAACGGATACGTGCATCACTTTGAGTCCATGTTGCTATCTCCTGAGAAGTGGCCGCAGCATCGGCTGGTTGTGGAATCGAGCCATCCAAAATACCCAGTAATCCTTTTCCCTCAACAAAAACCCGAAACTGAAATTCCCACAGTGCATAGTTTGACGATGTGAGGCGCACCGACGGCCTCTCCGAATCAGTCGCGGCAAGCTCTGATACCATATTGACAGATGCAAAATCAGAATAATACGATGCAGAAACAGATTGAAACACGGACACCGGAGTTTACGTGGTATCCCTGGATGTGATCCAGGACTAATCCACGGAAGAGCTTGAATGCTCTTCAGCTACTGATTTTACTGAGTTGTGATTATGATCATGTATGTTACAGGCGGCCAAGCTTCTCCTACAACCCTTTATACAACACCCTAGGGTTGTGCATGGACAAGCATGGATCAACGTATCGGCTGCAAATTAACATGGGCCTCATTCACCACTAACACAAGTAAACTGAAGCCCATTTAACTCTTATCGGCCTTCAAAAGATTGCAACAAGGGTTCGTCGATAGTGTTATATCTCTGCCCGTCAGAGACCAAACAACTTCAGGTTGGCGATTTGCTCATGCCAACGAACTACAATGAATGGGTAGTCGAGATGACCAATTCCCTGATGGTGAAAAATAAATTCAGCTTTGTGGATGGCACTGTCTGAAAGCCTGAGCAAGAAGGTTTCTGGCCAGCAAGCTTGGACGAGGTGTTGTGCAATTGTTAAAAGGGATGACTTCGAACCTCTATGAAAAAGGAGGCCAAAGCTAGTGTTCATCATGCAAAAACTGCCCACGAGATATGGTGGATCTCAAGAAGCGTTTTGGTTGAGGGAACGCTCTCCGAGTTTATGAACTCTTAACGGTTAGTAAGCTCTCTTCAGCAAGAAAAGCTCAATGTTTCTGTGCTTGTGTAATGAAGAATCTGTCTCTCATCTGTGTATCAATTACTCTTATACAACCAAAGTGTGGAGACGTTTGCAAAATGCATTTCCAATTCGATGGCAGCAGTATAGCGATCTACCAACGCTAGTCCGGTCGTGGCCTTCACGGTAGCATGGACTCAGCCATCTAGGTGGTTTGTGTGGAGCTCCCTCCATGCCACCTGCTGAACTATTTGACGGGAGCTTAACAGGACTTTCGACAATAGAGCTCTCCCTGCCAAGGTGTGTTGTGGTCTCATTTGCATATCTTCAGTAGAATGGTTATTAGTATAGGGGAAGATCGACCATCCTTCAGTACAAGACTGGTTTTGTTCCTCTGCACATGCAGTTGACACAGACATGAGTTTGCTGCATTATTATGAGCTTGTTGCTCTTGGCTGCTCGTGTCCCCTTCTTTTGGGGGGATGCTTCTTCCGTCTGCAATAGATCGTGGCCGGCATTTTTTTTTTTTTCTCTTTTTCCCTGCTTAATGTGTTTGCTGTAGTCAAATCTCGTCACCTTCACACAAAAAAGCTACAATCACGATAACCCTAAAGAGAACTGTAACATTATTACCAATGACCACACATTATTCAAACATCTCCAAAGTAATCAACACCGTCTATGATCCATATGTCCACTACTCTACGTGCGCAAAGAAACTTGAGAGGGGACATAAATAATGACTTCAGTATATGCTCTTGGCGACTGAATATCAATAACCTGAACTTTCGAATCCTCATCATGAACTACAATGGACCATTGAGGATTTTCATCATCGTCTTGCTCGGACAATGCTCTGAAAATATACTTGCATCTTCTGGTAAATCCAAGGAAGTCGAGATGATCAACACCGGGGGGAATGGCGACAGTGAGGGTAAACAACTTTGTCCACGATTCTGATACCCATAACTTCAAAAGCCCCCATACCTCCCAAGACTTGCTCCCAACGGAACAAAGCGCTACCATCGACTCTTCCTGCTTCGACAACGTCAACAGAGACTCCACTTCCCAATCTCCCGGAACAGGATTGCTCACTTCCACCATTTCGAACACTTCATTGCTCATGTCGAACCAAAAAAACTGAGTAACTTTTAGGAACAAGTGCCACCAGTACAAATTCCCCTCGTAAAGCTTGGGTATTCGCGAAGATTGAACTAAATGGATGGAGAGATCCAATTTTCTCCATGAGTCGTTCCTCAAGCTGTACACTTCCTGAAAACCCTCCCATTCGTCATCAACAAATGTAAGTTGCCTAACAATTTTGTAGTCATCTGATTCCGAATCGAAACCGAACCCAGTTATACTAACCCACCAATCGGAATCCACAGGCGGGTCGAAAAGGGTAGGCGGCAGAACCTTGATTTCCGAGGTCTTCGGATTCCAAAGAATCAAACACGGGACGACGGGAAGGTAAAAGCTTTCTTTGGTGGCTAGGCACAGGAGACCATTGCAACATCCTACAACTGACAAATTGCGGTACGCGTCCCCATCGGAGGGTAACTGTAACGACATCCCCGTCGAGGAGGAGGGAAGCAAGGGTTCAAGCGTATCGCAAGAGTAGACTGACCTCAATTCGTTGGCAGCGAAGAGTGTAATCAAAGTTCCAGAACAAGAATCCGAATAATTTCCTTCGGTACCGGCAGTTCCGATGAACAGATCATTCTGCCGCAAGAAAGAGGGGTCGGAGAGGAGATCTCGCCATGATTTACAGACGCATCGGCATCGGGCAATGCATGCTGCGATAGGAAGCCTCCGCAAGATGTTCGTCTTCAGCTCCTCCGGAATTTCGTTCATACCGGCGTCGGCATTTGGATTTGGTAACTGGTAGTGTGGATTGATTGAGAAACTCGCAACAAGGTATTTTTGCGAGGTTAGAAAGTGTGTAGGTTAATATTTTCGTATGTCATGAACTTTGACCAAAATAAACATCCTGGCAATTTTTTGATCTATAACATTCTTGTCCGAACTATACACCAAAATAAATAATTTGGCTAAATCCGACTTTTGATCGTTAATTTGGATGGTCAAATGCGTTGACCGTTAGTCAACGCGCCATGTCACTGCCAAGTCAGCATAAAATATTTAAAATAATTCACAATTTCCACACATTCCCTAATTTTAAATTATTATAAATTAAAAAATCATCTAATACCTTAGTTAAACCAACAATAAAAAAACGAAAAAATTAAATATTTATCATATCTTATGACTTGGCAGTGACGTGGCGCGTTGACCGTTAGTCAACGCGTTTGACCGTCCAAGTTAATGGTCAAACATCGGGTTTGGCCAAATTGTTTATTTTGGTGTATTGTTCGGGTCAGGATGTTATAGATCCAAAAGATTGGCCAGGATATTTATTTTGGCCAAAGTTCAGGCCATACGAAAATATTAACCCAAAGTGTTTATAACATAAAGACCCATAAATTTGGGCTCAAGATAGGGTGCATAACGATGGGTTATGCACCCATCAATAACCAAATCTGAACCTTTCATTTAGAAAATTCATATCTAAGGATGGAGAATTAAAAGTCATTTTTATTTTTCCCTAGTTTTCTTAATCGGCTCATATATTTTTCTTTTTTACTCGGATTTTTTTTTTTTTTTTTTTGCACAGATGGAACGAGTTTATCGTGCTCTACAAAATGACATCAATTATCAATATTTTTTTAGAAAAAAAAATCTGGCCTCTCGGTACCAACTGCATACCATATGGTATCTTCTTCGTTTTTAAATCGTTTTTGAAAATGTTTGCACAGAAGAGACGAGTTCATCATGATCTATTGGATCTACCCATTTCTAGGTGAACAAATTACAGAACCAAAAAATACCACACAATACCAAACAATACCACCCTAGTACGGGGTGGTATAGTATGGTACACAATGTTAAAAGTCGTAAATGACAGTTAATATACTTCTACTATCATGTATTCAACCATCATACAGTCTTGGTTTGTTCATACCACTATGGTACGCTTTTCAAACCATATGTATGCTCTTATTTCAATACTAGTCAATACCATATGGTATAGACTGGTAAAAAATGGCTCAATTTTTTTTTCCGAAAAATATATCAAAGTGGATATAATTTTGAAGAACACAATTAATCTGATCTAACTGTGTAAAAAATTATATTTCAACTTAAAACGAGTGAGAAATCGTCCGTCAAAGATTAAGGAGGGGAAAATTAAAGATTTTCCATGAGAGAGATGCTGATGTCATAGTGATGTGTACTGGTTACTCATGGTTACTCACCTGATCCATTCCCATAAATTTGGGAATTGCTAATTATCGCCCTAGAATTTTTAAACGCCCTAACTTAAAATTTTAAAGTTACTTTTTTATCCTTTTAATTTTTATTACTAAAATGGATCGCCCTAACAAGTACAACCACTTGTGGCAAAACAATAAAAAAAAAAATTCATTGCGATTAACTCCCCTCTCCGACCTCCATTCTGGAGAGGGCGAATTTCATGATTCAGTCCATTGTTTCTCAATGGAATCCCTCATTGTCTTTATTTCTTCCTAGTACACAACCGTTCATCTCCAATTTATGGCTTTAATACACAATAAAAAGCCAGCACAATTAAAAGCCAGCCTTCAATCTTCATCTCCAATTAGTGGCTTTAATACACGAAGAACATCGAGCACACAACCGTCCATCCCCTTCCTCGGATGAAGCATCGGTTGAATTAGTTTTCCGTGGGACTTCATCTTCAATTCGCGGAGGTTTAGCAGCAAATCACCATCAAGGAACGGTGGCGGATTGCAAGAGGAGAAGGACGCCGGTGAGGGCTTTTGGAGAGGGAGTCGACGTTGAACGAGAATTAGTTATTTTAGGGGTTGTTTTTGTTGAATTTAATTAATTAATAAAGGATAATATAGTAATATTAATTTTTAAGTTAGGGAGATAATAGTAAAACTAGGGCGAGATTTAGCCTTCCAGTAAATTTTTGGTAATGAAAATTTATTAGTCGGATTCTTTTTTATTAGCCAAACTTATCAAATACAAAATTTTAATTATCGATTAACTTTCCTTTCTATGTCTGTTGACTTGGCGTTGACGTGGCGCTGACTCTCTCCCTAATACTCGCCAAATTCCATTAAGAGAAAACAGAGGATGGAACTGAAACATATGTTCTGCAGAGGGGGAAAAGGTGAAGTTAACGTGGAAATAGACGGAAGGGGGAGGTATCCTGAGAGGGTCACAAGAGAGGAGGCCACAACCAACGATCCCGTCATAGATAGTGTCACTCGCCATGTATGATTCGTGGCAGAGAGAGATTTTGGGATTAGAGGCGCAGAGACGAGGTAGGATTTGGGATATGTAGGTGAAAATCCAGTTACCTTTTCAACGATCTAACAAAGCTTGGGGCGAAAGAAGCTCATGTGTATTTTCAGGGCAATGTAGAAATTTTGTGAGTGAAATGAGCTCAAACTCATCTACAGCTTCTGTTGGAATTGGCTATTCCAACAGGGTTTCAGTTTTAGAGATGTTCGATTTTCAAAGCTTGTACGGAAATGGAGGTAATTGGTTTGTGGTTATGGGTTAGATGTTTTCCTCTAGTGAAGGGATAAAGGTTGAAGCTTTGAGGCAGAGAAGTGAAAGAAGGTCAGGTTGGCGCTGACCTTGCGGAGGAAGTTGTAGTCGATGGGAAGCTCTCAGCTCTCGGAGACCATCTGGATCTTCAGGATTTGGCTCCGGTTGTTGGAGCGGCGATAGATGAAGAAGTAGGAGAAGACGGCGAGGATAACGACAACATTAGGGCCAGCGATGAAGAAGAAGAAGAAGCTTGAGGACACCATCCACCGCATTATCGTCCGCCGAGCAACACTCGATTGACTCTTTTTTCTTCTAGGACTTCCTACTGGGTTCTTCCCCACATATCTAACGCCGGTTGTTGGGGGACTACTGAGGGGACGAGCGAGAGAGGGAGGGCGAGGGTGGAGTAGATGAGCGGCTGTTAGAGGTGGCAGTTCTCAATCCAATCCACCAATCCATTAAAAATATCCATCTAATCTCATCCATTTAATCCAAATCCAATTGGATTGGTGGATTCATGGATCAATCCATGGATCCAATTGGCAAATTACGGTTTGGTACCTATACTTTTTATATTTTACATTTTGGTACTTAAAATTTAATTTTTTATATGAAAAATGTCATTGGAAAATTACGTTTTGGTACCTAAAATTTTTCATTATGACATTTTAGTACCTAAACTTTTCACATTTTACATATTGGTCCAAGGTTGAGGATGTCATTTGGATTCATGGATAATCCACCAATCCATTTGTTCCAATCCATGAATCCACCAATCCATTGGATCCAATCCATTTGATCCATGAATCCACAAATCCATGGATCGACCCATTTGCCACCTCTAGCGGCTGTGGATACGAGGGGAGGGGGGTTTAGTTTTTATTTTGTACTATATAATTTATTTTTATGATTTATTTTATGATTTCTGGTCTAACCAATATTGGTCTGATTTGACCAAATCTTAACATTGGCCTCTTTCTTGCTGGTTTTGTGACCAATAGCGGTTGTACCCGTTAAACTGGCTAGTAGGAAGCTAGTGTGGCAACATTGATAAATGCACATATCCAATTACCAACTTTTTTTTTGCCATTAGATAACTCGTATTACTGAGAAGACAAAGATACAAAGTTTGGAGTTTCAAAGCGACAAAAGCCAAACAACAAAATCGAAACCAACCAACACTGGCAGTCTCAATGAAAGGGCTTTTCATGCCACAAGATAAGCAATCTATTTGACTTGCTATCAGTACACTCAATCCCAATCATAGGCTAAGCATAAACTATAACCAATGTAGTATAGAGTAAGTATTTCAAATATCAACCTGGGCAATCTATATATACTTACTTCAAGCGTCTAGAAATTATCTAGAAATTGAAATGTTGTTAATCTAATCAACTAAACTGATATGATATCAAATTGGTTCCCATCCAAGTCTCCACTAATTGTTAAAGAAGCAAGCTCAAATGGAAAGAAGCAACCTGAAAATTGTCTCAAGTGTTTTATGTGTTTCACGGTGTCTTCTTTGCAGGGTCATTTCTCACAATTGGCTGGATGGAAATTCAAGGTTAATGGCTGGATTTGAAGAACAAGTGTTAAACAACAAGCCTGAATGCTTGGATGACCAGGGACAAGTCATTAAAGCCATTTTCAAACTCCTCAAGTTGCTATGCCAAAATCGCGAATCTGCCAGTTTTTTGCCAAGTATGGAAGTCAGTCTCGGTACCTAACTTTGGAGCCTTATTCAAGAAGATTGGTTGAGATTCGATCGAGGATCTTTGTGCCACATGAAAGTATGCATATTCTACAAATACAAGGGATTGGCTGATCAAATGCTTACCTTGGAGGCTTCAAACGAACCCTTGCAAGATCGTACGAAGGCCTTTCTATCTTGCAAATCTGAATCCTTCTGGGATTAGGATTACTTTCCTTTTCTGTTTTGAGCTTTGATTCTGAGTTAGATTATGTTTATACTTCTTTTCCTTGTTTGTTTACCTAGCCTAACTCTATTTAAACTTTTCAATTGCATTGTAATAGGTAGATTTCGTTCAATTGAATACAAACCAGAGTTTTATTCATCTAGCTTTGCTACGTGAGTTGAGTGGACAACTTGAAAGGAGTTCTAGGTTGTTTTGAGAGCTTGTATCGATAAGTTCTCACCTTTATCGTGGCCAAGCATCGACTTATAATCTTTGAGCCTCGTTCCCTTGTGAAAGTTGCACGAGATTTCCATCCAAATACACAAAATCCTACCCTATTTTGTCTGAGTTCTTGATTCAATTCGATTGAATTGAGAAGGCTGCCTACTCTGATAAAAAGAGACCCATCTAGGGCTCATCATAAATAAGAAAGAAATTAAAATGAACTTGAACTCAATTGATAA